TTGATTTTAAAGAAGTTATGAAAAAAGAATTAAAACTAGAGGATATTTTATATGATATTGAGAATGGACTTGAATTTCTCAGTCACACAATCAAAAAAGACAACGTTTATACAGTTATTATTGGTCCAACTGGGGCTGGTAAAAGTACTATAGCTAATGTTTTAAATAAACACAAAGTTGAAATTAGTTTAATTGATGGTAAAAAGGTTTATGACGTTGTTGGTGAGTCAACTATAAAAATTGGCCACAAAAATGTGTCTACCACAAAACGTCCAAATATAGAAAACTCTTATATTGATTGTCCGGGGCTTGGAGATACAGAACCAGCAAAAGAACTACAAAATGCTGTTTACATGCAAAAGGTATTTAGTTGTGAAAAATTTAGAGTAATAATAGTGACAGAGTCTTCCTCAATATTTGATGGAAGAGCACAAGTTTTTATTAAAATGCTTGAAAATCTTAATGATTGTATGGGAAAACAATTTGTAAAGTATTCTAAGCAGTTTGGGTTGTGCATTTCTAAAGTGTCTCTGGATGACTTTGAACTTGGTGTGACAGATGACCCGTCTGAATTTTCAAAAATAATTAAACAACAGGTTGCTTTATCAACATATCAGGATTTGGTAGAGTCACTTCAAGATCGTATTATGTGCTTTACAAAAAATGATTCCTATGAATCTATAACAAGAAAGCTTATGAATTTCATACCAAAAGTAGTTGCTGGTAACGCGGTACCTATTTCTCCCATTTTATCTCCCGCAGGAATATTAACTATTACTTCAATGATTGAAGATGTTTTTAATAAAATTAATGATTATAATAACAAAAATGTGGGTAAATATATTAAGAATATTAGAAATAATTTAAAAACCTCTGAAATTATTAACATGACAGAATATATAAACAAATTAAATAAGCACGTTGGTAGTAAAAGAGCAGAGTTATTTAAAATTGGCATAGAAAGTATAGAAAACTCTAGTGGGATGAATGATCTTGTAACAAATATAATTGTGTTTAATGAAAACATTAAACATCAAACGTTAATAACAACTTTATCTATTGATGGTTTAAAACCAATTAGGTCAATTGCTTGCATGTTTCTGAAGTCTAATGATTTTTCTGATTTTTATAAACAAAAATTTACTGACATTATCAAGCCAGTAATGAAGCTAGAGGAGAAGTATGAAAATTTTTTAAAAGATATAAACACAATGGAAAAAGACTGGAATATATTAAAAGATTTTACAACAAGTAGTAATTGGAAAAAAATTTTTGCTCTTGGAGTTGGTATTGCTAGTGCAGGTGTTTTAGCTGCTGATTCTATTCCATCACTTGAATTAAGTATTAGTAAAGCTACTAAACTAACTGCAAGCATTTTTACAGGTTGTAGCCTAATTTTAGGAGGTTTGACATCAAGTCATGAAGTAATAGAGAGTTGCGACACTTTTGAAAAAAATCATCCTGAAATTAAGCCTTATGCCAATGAATTTAGACAAATTTATAAAGGATTGCCAAATACTTTTGCTGAATTATGGATTGATTCTCGTCCAACAGATATGGGTAATTATCTGCAAACTTTAAGATATGAGTTAAAAACTGCTCATATCGATAATTTCAGTTCTCAATATAATGATATTAGTTGAATTTAAAAAAATTGAAAAAAAAATATCACTACAAAAAGTTATATAACAAGAGATAAAACTACTTTTTTATTTTTAATTGGCACGCAATAATTGTTGTTGTTTATTATATCTTTTTACTATGACCTTTTAGTTGCAAGTTTCATTTATATATTGTGATTTATAATATAATGTTTTCAAAGTTTAGCTTAGCTCAGTAAACTTTTTTGAAAAGTTTAACTATTGCTTATGTTTAACTATAAAAGCGTAAAAATTAAATACAAAAATATATGCAATGATAACTAGTAAGTAAGGAAAATAATAATAATAATAATATAATAATAGAAGTTGACTAAATAATATGTTAAAAAAAAAATTAAATATATCTTTGTTAATTTTTACAATGTATCGAACTATATAAGTACCAAATAGAGTATTTGTACACTCCACTTCTCACATACTTATTTAAGTCAGCCGATGTATGTAACTACACTGCAAATACGGCCATATCAGTCATTTTATGTACGCATTTATTACTATTATTATTGTACGAAACTTTCAAAATATAAATAATAAATAAATATAGTTATAGTTCAACTGTAATTTTAACTGTGGTTAAAACATACAAAACAAATTTCAAACTAAACATCAAAGTTTGCTATCCTCAAATATAAATGTTTTTTAATATAAGTAATAGCATTTTTTGTTTTGTTTGTATGCGCATACAAATAATGGCTTCCAAAGTAATATTAAATAAGAATAATAAAAATTTATATGTATTTTAAATGCATCCATTAGATAACTATAACCCGCTAAAAAAATTAAAAATATTTTTGGATTTAAAACCACAAAAAAATGTTTAGGGGTGAAAGGAGTAGAATATCAATGCGTATTTTTAGGTGGGGGAAGGTCAGTAAAACGTGACGATTTGTTACCAGAGGATTAGGGAGGGGGGGTAAGAAAGTAGAAGTCTGAAATTGTCAAAATTGCATAAAGTATTTTATAAACAAACCGAATTATTAATTGGATTTTGCATAAATTCTATTAAACGGCATTTCTATATTTCAAAGGACGGTTTTGCCTCTCCTTTTCTATTGTGCTGTACCTTCAAAATATTTGAATGTATGTTAAAATAATTTTTTATTTCTTCAAACTAATCTTATTCAATTTTTGGTTAGCCAAGAAGGAAAATGTTCAAGGGAACACGTGATCGCCCTGCTCCTACCCCCCTTCCCTCCTTACAGGTCTGATTTAAATTATTTGTTCAATAAACTCGTTTAAACCAATTTTTACAAAAATTTATTAATTTCAAAATAGAATGTGGGTGAAACTAAATTATGGAAAAAATATTAAACAATTTTTGCATTTTTAAATCAAAAATATTTTTTTATAAGAATGGTTTCTTTTCAGCGAAATGTTTACTTCATTTAGAAATTGGTTTTTCAAATATTTATTACTTTCTTTGGTAACTTGCAAATTCTGCCTTTCCTTTCTAGATTTTGTTTGGTCTTTCAAACTTTTCAATTCTACGGCAACTTCAACAGCAGAAATATTGTCTTTCTTATTTTTCTTTTTGTGGTATAAAAAAAATAGGCAAGAGTATATACAAAAAAACACTATTATTTCACCCATTTCGTTATTGAAAAAGTAAAATGAAAGTTTTGGCAATTTTTTAAGCTTATGTATGATTTTAATTGCTGATATAACTATTGATAGCTAGAAGTAAAGCCAACTGAGGAACCTTTGAGAACACTAGCAATTTTTAATATTATACCGGCATTTTCGTAAAAAAATTTTTAACTAGAAACTGGAACAGTGAAACGGTGTTATAAATACATCAATTTTAGGAATAACTATCTCTACATTAGTTGACAAAAAACCAGATGCAGTGGTTATTGCGTTTAATAAAATGCGAGTATTGCAATGCTTCTGATAATTATCTAATGTTTCTCAATTTCCACAGTTCATGTTTATCAGCTGGATTTCTACTTCTTTTTTAAGATGAAAATAACAGGCTAAAGCTAAATATATTTTTTTGTAGTTTGATGCATCAGAAAGAATTGACATATGATGCTTTTATAAAACATTTTCTGAGTTGGTCTCACAAAATTTCTTACAATTATTGCTTCAAATTTTGATTGCACACAAGAAAATCTTTGATTATATATTTTCTTGATCAGTTAAATGCACAATCAGTACTTATGAAACTAGAGTTGTGTTTGATTGTGTGGAATACGATTGTTCCTTCTTCAATGGCTATCATCATCAACTTTGTGATTTTGTTTGACGATATAGAAGCATCCAATGCTATTTTTTATTAGTGATCTTCAATGTGCGATGATTTACTTTCAAACCGTCCACGAATAATAATGTCAAATAGGCATTGACAAATAATACATTTGAAGAGCTCATTTTTGATCTGCGTTTAGTAAGTAAACATTTACTTCAAATTATCATTAATCGTGTTTAATATTCTCTTCCTCGTACTGATTTTATGAATTTGATTGATCTAATAAATAGATACATAAACCTTTAATAACTTCTTTATAAACTGATAAAATATATCAGAAAAACATTTTATATAGCATTTTTATTGTTAAAGTTAGGGATGAAAATTTCCAGAAATTTTTCAACTCGGGAAACTTTAGAAACTTGCAAAAAAAGGTGAGTTATTTTATGATTAATAGGTAAAATTTTATGTTGTTTTTAGGCATTTTTAAAGGACAATTTTATTTTAAGATATTATGAAGCAGATTATAATAATTTTAGAAAACCATCTAAAAAAACTCTTTTTTTTGGTATTTTGTTGAGTTTTCTTATTATAACTATGAAATTTTCTTATTATAACTATAAAATTTTTATATGCAATCATAGGCGATTCTACAAATAAAAAGAATAAGAGAAGGAGGTGGGTATATCCTTAAAAAGTACCGACTGAATTGTATCAAATACCCTACTAGCCGACAAAATTTGTCAAAAAACTGATTATAACATGAAAATCACCTTTGATAAATAGTTTAGTATATCGATATTTATTGCCGACGCAAGCTTTGTTTAAACGAATACATAATTTGCACTCCCATCCTTAAAGGGGAAGAGGCATTTTTTAATATCTATCAAATTAGTCAACAAATTACTAAAAACTATAAAATTATATGAAAAAAGACATGATTGAATATTTACAGTATTTTACAAATATTTTTTGATTTAACGAGGCTATTGATTAACAAAAGGCAAAAAGTAAAGAAAATTTTTTTGCTAACTTTGAACTATTTAAAAATATAATCAGTTTAAAAAAAAAAGAACTAATGATTTCAAGGTCATAAATTCCACCACTATTTAAAAAAAGTGTATTTAAGACTTGAATCTCGTTTGCCCAAACCTCTAAATGTCACTTTTGACTAAATATAAGACAAAAAATTAAAAAATTATACTAAACCTTAAAATGGTTTATATATATTCTGTATATTTTAACCCTACTGCCGATTTAGCGATTTGTGTGTATGTTATCTGTGTGTGTGACTTTGTTTTGAAAGTATAATATTTGGCAAATTAAATTATTGTTATTTTACCAAACATTCAGATTAAATGTGTTTTCTAAGGTCATTTTTAGATAAATTATTAAAATTTATACTGCTAGTGCATTTATAACATGTACCTTTTAAAAAGATGATTTAAATGCAGTTTTTATATATAAAAAATCTTTTGAAAAATTTTTATATGCAATCATAGGCGATTCTACAAATAAAAAGAATAAGAGAAGGAGGTGGGTATATCCTTAAAAAGTACCGACTGAATTGTATCAAATACCCTACTAGCCGACAAAATTTGTCAAAAAACTGATTATAACATGAAAATCACCTTCTTTGGAGAATGGAACACGTCTAAACACACACTCATACACAGACACACGTCCTTCCTCTAAAATCGTCTTTGTATCACAACCTTATAAATTATTGTTTCTTTAAAACTCTACAAAAATAAAACACATTAAAATTTGTTAATCTAAAAAAGATTTTATTCTTTGTATTTTGTGTTACATCGTAAATGAAGTAAAGTAAAAGCTCGAAACATATTCAAGCTCAAAAGACAAACTAACTTGGAAAACATCTACATTTTATTTTTTCACAAAAGTAATGTGAGAAGGGGTGACATAAGACAACTGAAACGTTTTATTCCTATTTTAAAAAGATCCTTAAATTGAATATATAAATTTGACTAAACAATGTGAATTTCTCGCTTATGGGTCTTTATAATTTTATTCTTTTTTGTTGAAATATTTTAAGATTACCCAAATTCTATGATGATAAAACAAATTTTTTAAAACAAAACAAAAAATTTTTATAAAACCCTACAATAACTATAAGTTTATTTAAATAAAATGATTTGAAATTTTCCGGAATTTTTGAGTAAAATTACCATTAAACGTTTATAGTACGCGCCAAACGTCTACGTATGGTAACCATTATATCTATATATATATATATATATATATATATATATATATATATATATATATATATATATATATATATATATATATATATATATATATATATATATATATATATATATATATATATATATATATATATATATATATATATATATATACATAAATATATATATGCGTGTGTGTGTATATATGTGTATATGTATGTATGTATATGCGTATATGTGTGTATGTGTATAAATGTATATGTGCATATGTATACATGTCTACGTGTAAGTGTGTGAATGTGTGTATATATATATATATATATATATATATATATATATATATATATAATTATATATATATATATATATATATATATATATATATATATATATATATTTGCTATTTATATATATATATATATATATATATATATATATATACATATATATATATATATATATATATATATACATATATAAATATATATTTATATATATATATATATATATATATGTATATATATATATATATATATATATATTTATATATATATATATATATACATATATATATATATATATATATATATATATATATATATATATATATATATATATATACATATATATATATATATATATATATATATATATATATATATATATATATATATATATATATATATATATATATATATATATATATATATATATATATATATATAAATATATATATATATATATTTTTTGTTAGATCGACTTAAAGTGGCTTTTTCATTGGTAAAAACTTAACTTAAAGTGGACTTTTACTTAAAGTGGACTTTTTTGAGTCCACTTTACGTTTTTGATTAGTTTTTAGACTAAGTTATAGCTGTTGAAAAGTTAGTAGCAAGTTTTTCTAATCGGACTATTGCTTCTATAAAGGTTTGCGGATAGGAAGTTTTGTTTTAAAAGCATAATTTTGAGTTTAAGTGTTTGTTATTTTGACCATGTATATTTCGTCACTGTACAAAAAAACACTTAAAGTGGATCTACATTTTGAGACTAGGTTTTGTCTATAAATCTTTACAATATTTAATCGAGTTTTTTAGTTCTATAAGACATCATACACCTTATACTAACCAAACTTAAATGAAATGTTAAAT